TCAGCCATTCCACTATTGATGGGTATCTATCCCTTCAATTTCTAATTCTTTGCTACCAGAAAAGAGCTGCTATAAATATTTAGGCATTGTTCTAAATAATGATTTAATCAGTTCACAACTCCACCAATGGTGCATCGGTGGCTCAATTTTCCCACATCCCCTCCAACATTTGTCATTTTCCTTTTCTGTCCTTATTAGCAATCTAGTAGGTGTGAGGTAGTGCTTTAGAATTGATTTAATTTGTATTTCTCCAATTAATAGTGATTTAGAGCATTTTTTCATATGGCTATAGATTCTGCTGGCCAATTTTCTGATCATCTCAGGGCACAGACTCCAGGGCACCTGATCAGAGCTCTTCATACACTAAGCTTCCTGATGGCAGAAAGTGAAAAAGAACTGAGAATCCTTTTGCTGAGGGTGAAAAAGGAGAGTGTAAAAGCTAGCTTGAAGCTTAACATTTAAAAACTAAGATCATGGCAACTGGTCCCACCACTTCCTGGCAAAGAGAGGGAGAGGAAATGGAAGTAGTGTCAGATTTTCTATTCTTGGGCTCAAAGATCACTGCAGATGGTTACTGCAGCCTTGAAATTAAAAGAGGAAGGGAGGAAGGGAGAGAAGTAGAGACAATGAAATAGTTGAAAGAGACAGAGTGAACACAGTGACAGAAGAACCTTGTTGAGGTTCTTCCACAAAAATACTTTTGTATTTCTACTCCTAGTGCCTAGCTCAATTGCCTGGCACATTATAGGTGCATAATAAATGCTTGCTTATTTACTTGGAGACATCAATGGTGATGGAGACATCCATGGAGATGGTGAAGACAGAACCAAAGAGAGGAGAGAAATAAGTAGGGAACCACTTTATCACTGTATAGAAAGAAGCTACAGACCCCAAGCATCTCTCTGCAAGCATCAGTGCAGGGTGCCATCTTTTAGGAAGGACGTTGGTAAGAATGAGTGTACAACTGAGATGTCAAACATGTAACCAGTGAGTCATCAACTTAAAATGTAATTGGGAATATTTTTTAACAAAAAAAAATGCAATAAAACATAGATGATGTTAATTTGTGGTTTTCTAAGTCAGTATGCCCCCCCCCATACACACAGAGAAGAATCCATATATATATAGTTAGTGGCAGCATTTCTATTTGAGTTTGACACTACTGGTGTACAAGAGAGTAAATAAATGGGTGAGATAGAGAAAGACACTGATTAAGGTGGAGAGCCCAGATGATAGTGGATATAAGATAGAGGAGGCCAACCACGGTGGTAAAGGATCAGAGGCTCATAGGTTTCAAACTGAAAGGGAACTGTTTTGTTCAGTCATTTCAGTCATGTCTGACTCTCTGAGACCCCTTTTGGGGTTTACTTGGCAGAGATACTAGAGTGATTTGCCATTTCCTTTTCCAGTTCATTTGACAGATGAGGAAACTGAGGCAGGCAGGGTCAAGTGACTTGCCCAAGGTCACAAAGCTAGTACATGTCTGAGGCCAAATTTGGACTCAGGTCTTCCTGACTCCAGGTCCCACACTTTGTCCGCTTCTGACACCCAGCTGCCCCGAAAGGGACGTAGGTGCCCTCCAATCCAATCCTCTCATTTACGTAATAATTTACATAATAATCGGAGCTTTCCGAAAGGGACATGGTCTGTCTCTGGAGTCATAAGTTGCCTGCGCTGGGAAGACTTCAAGCAAATACCAGATGGCCACTTGACAGGGATGTGTTAGATGGAATTCATGTTTCGGGTAGAGGTCCTTTCAGAGGAACCTACCAATTCAAAGTCTATGATTCTGTTATCCAGTCCAAGGGGCAGCTAGGTGGCACCATAGTGCATAGGACCCTGGGCCTGGAGTCAGGAAGACTCATCTCCCTGAGTTCAAATCTGCCCTGAGACACTTCCTAGCTGTGTGACTCTGGACAAATCACTTCACCCTGTTTGCCTCAGTTTCCTCATCTGTCAAATGAGCTAGAGAAGGAAATGGCAAACCACTCCAGCATCTTTGCCAAGAAAACCCCAAGCAGGGTCAATGGAGAGTGGGACATGATTGAAAACAACTGAACAATAGTATCTAGTCCAGCAGGGTAAAAATTTAATCAACGTATGTTAACATTGAAGGAAAAGTGAGCATAATTAATGAGACCCCTGAAAAAAAAAGCCCTTCTTACTCATCAAAGATTTAGAGCTATAAAGGATCTTAGAAGTCATGTATCCCTACCTCCATATTGAAAGATGAGAAAACTGAGGCCTGGGTAGATTAAGAGACTTGCCTCGGGTCACATAAGGAATGCTTCAGAGACAGGATTTGAATCCAGGACCTTTGATGCCAGTGCTTTTTCCACTGTGCTCCACTACTTACTATCTGTGTGCATTGTTTCCTCTGGTAGAATATGAATTCCTCAAATTGAGGGACTGTCTTGTCTTTGTCACTCTATTGCTACTGCCTGACGTTTAGTAGATGCTCATCAAATTGCCCAAAATCACTCAGAGAGAAATCAATCATTTACTGTTTACTATTATACGCCAGACATTGTGGTAGACTGGGAGCTCCTTGAGAGCAAGCACTTTTGTATCCCCAGTGTTGAGCACAGTGCTTGGCACATAGGGGGGCACCTAATAAATGTTTATTGCTTGATTGATTGCTGGGAATACTGAGACAAAAACAATATTGCCCTATTAGAATGTAAATTCCATAAAGGCAAGGGTGGGCTTTTGCCTTTCTTTGTATCCCCAGAGATTAGCACGGTGCCTGGCACATAGTAAGTGCTTAATAAATGTTTGTTGATTGACTTCAAGGAGTTTACACTTTATCAGCTGGGACTTATATATGTATATGTTTATACAAATTGTATTCAAAACAAGTGGAAGGTGGTTTTTTGAGGGAAGGCACTAGCAGCTGGGGTGGGTGGATTGGGAAAGGCTTCATGTAGAAGCTGAGCTTTGGAGGAAACTAGCAATCCTAAGAGTTGGCACTGAGGAGGGAGTGCATACCCCAGGCATGGGGAACAGATGGCTGGAGTCAGGTCGTGGAGGGTTTTAACAGAGAAACTATGGATTTGAACCCACATCCCCTACCCCCCATTCCAAATCCAGTATTCTTTCCACTCTAACAGAATTTCTAGATGTAGCAAGGCAGTCCTCAGGAAAGTCTCCTGCTGATCCCTGGTACTTTATAAAACTGAGGTTTTAGAACATCACCAAGTCCTTTGGGGAACGATAAAATCATCCCAGACCATACATCCTACTACCCTTCCCGCCCCGTCCTGCTTCATGGCCCTCTATCCGTGCGTGTTGGTGACTGAGCAGTCCCTGAAGGAGGAGCCAGTCCCTGAGTAGGGGCGAAAGTCTATTAAAAAATGACATTCCTAGAACCGTTCTAAGGTTTCCAGAACACTTTCCCCGTAGCGAACCTGGGAAGGGAGTGAGAGAATGGAATATCATGCCCGGTTAACAAAAGGAGAAGCTGGAAGAACCCTGGACCAGACCGGGAGCATGGATACAACCAGGATTGTAGATCTGCCAAAGAAAACCCCTACTAATGGGCAGTGACCTTGGGAAGAGCACTGGCTTGGGGGCCAGAGTTCTTAAATTAGGGCCCACGGATCGAAGAAATCTTAGATAGACTTGGGGAGTTTGTGACCTTGGAAGGGGCAAAGAGATCTTTGTTTCAGTCACGAGTTTTTTTCCTTTGTAGTCTCATGTATTTTATGTACATTTACAAACTTCCTTCTGAGAAGAGGTTTCACCATCACGTTTCACCAGACTGCCAAAGGAGTCCATCACCCAAAAAAGTCTGAGAACCCCTGCTTTCCGGGTCACTTGTCTGGTTTGGAATCGTGACTCTGCCCTTTCCCAACTGATGAGGCCGAGCCGTACAATGGAAAGAGGTAGCCGGGAGTCGGAGCATCTGGAGTTCCAGTCCTCACTCTGATGCTTATTACTTTTGTGACCTGCTGGGCCCATACCCACAGGGAGGAGACTCGGGAGGGGTGGGCTAGATCTATGAGCGTATAACTTTAATCGAATTGCTTCGCAGCTCGACGTCACAGTCAAATTGGGTAGGGGGGTGATGGACTAGATGACTTCTAAGATCCAGTTCAGCTATAAAAACCCTGAGCTGAGCCTCTCTCCTCTCTGAATCTCAGCTTCTTTATCTCCGAGTCTGGGGGCAGGGAGAGCAGCAGGATGCTCGGGGAAACTCCCCACTCGATGGTGATGCTGGGGTGTTATCTCTACCTTGGAGCGTCTCTCTCGGGTCCCTGCCTGCGAGGAGCAAGGTTGTGGGGGGTGGGGGTGGGGTGGAGGGGAGGGAGCGTAGAGGTGGGGAGGGAGGGAGAGAGAAGGGCGGGTTATTTTAATGAACTGAGTCGGAGACGTCAAGCGGAAGAGAGCCGGGCTCGCAAGCTTTAAATGGTATTTGTTGTCATCTGAGCATGCTCCCGTGTGGGCAGGCAGGGGCTATATAAGCGAGGGGAAGCCGGCGACCTCGAGGCAGACGCAGCGGCGGCGGCAGCGGCAGTGGCAGCGGCAGAACCCAGGTAGGAGTGAGAGTGGCGACACAGGAGCCGGAACCTCCTGGCAACGAAGCGATAGCGGTAGCAGCGGCAGCAGCAGCAGCAGCGGCAGGAGGAGCCTCCACCGCAGCCGCATCCCAGCCCCAGCCCAAGCATCATCATCATCATCAGCAGCAGCAGCAGCAGTGAGAAGGTGCCCCGAGCAGCCTCTGCACTCCCCCACGTTCCCAGCCCGTGCGAGGGCGCCCCAAACAGTCGGCACAGCGGACCCCAGGTCGGGGAGGCGGTCGCCGCGGGCGCCGTTGACCCCTGTAGCCCCCTGCGGGCCGCCCCTTCCCGCTCGCCCGCCGCCCCGGCAGCAGATTGGATCCCCCGGCCGGCGTTCGTCGGGCCGCGCCCCGGGGGGAGCCGCTGGTTCCCATTCCGCCCGGCCCGGGGGGCGTCCGCGCGTGCACGCCGCCGCCCGTCCCCGGCACCTCCCCAGAGCCCGGTCCCGGGCCGGCCAGCAGCCCGATGGCAGCGGCGGCGGCGGCCGCGGCAGCTAAGCCGCCAGAGCTGATGGGCATCTGCTCCAGCTACCAGGCGGTCATGCCTCACTTCGTGTGCCTGGCCGATGAATTCCCGCAGCCCGCGCGGCCCACTAAGCTGCCCCGGGGCAAGGGCAAGCTGCGGCGGCCCCGCCAGTCGCGCTTCAAGACCCAGCCGGTGACGTTCGACGAGATCCAGGAGGTGGAGGAAGAGGGGGTGTCCCCCATGGAGGAGGAGAAGGCCAAGAAGTCCTTCCTGCAGTCGCTCGAGTGCCTGCGACGGAGCACCCAGAACCTCAGCCTGCCGCGGGAGCAGCTCGGCAGCTCCAAGATGCGGAACAGCCTGGACTCTAGCGACTCGGATTCGGCTCTATGAGACGGCCCCTCCCCCTATTCTCGCTCCCCAGTGGCGGGCCGGCCGGCTGGCCGAGGACTTGACTTGGTCCCAACCCTGCGGAGCCGAGCCCCTGGTCTCTGCTTCTGCACTGGCTAAGCTGCGAACTCGTTGCCCTCCTCCGGGCGCTTATCCGGTGCCGCGACCTGGAGCGAGAAGGGGCAGCTGTCCGGGCTAGGCAGTCCAGGGGGCCAAGGGAAGGGCTCCTCCTCCCCCTCCCCCCTTTTCTTCTTTTCATTTACTCTGCCCAGTACAAACCCTGCTGTGAACGTGCCTGGTTCTAGGAGCAGAGAGAGAGAGAGAGAGAGAGAGAGAGAGAGAGAGAGAGAGAGAGGGAGAGAGAGAGAGAGAAAGAAAGAAAGAGAGAGAGAGAGATTGGGACATTTTCTAGGAAAGTCGCTGTGTACTTGTCTTTGATTGGAGGGAGCTCCGGTTTCCATCTATCCCCCCCTTCCTGGCGCCCCAATACTTTTCTACCAGCCCGTCGCCACAGATGGAACTTGGGCTACCACGAAGCTTCCGGAGTCTATTTATTTTTGCATTTCAATCGTAAACTGCATTTATTTAATACTCTTTCTACCTGAATGTGTCTGTGAGGTTTCCAGAACAGAGAAATAAAAACATATATTTGCACAGTGCATTCGTTATTCTGAGGATGTCTGTCCGTCTAACTGGCTGTCTGCAGCTCCCTGCTGCTGGGCGTGTTGTGTGTGTGCGTGCGTGCGTGTGTGTGTGTGTGTGTGTGTGTGTGTGTGTGTGTGTGTGTGTGTGTGTACCGCGCGCGCGCGGTAGGGGGCAGCTGGGGCCAAGGGTCCTTGGAAAGACTACAGTCCAGGGAACTGGGCGGGGCGGGAGGGGAGACGTTGACGAGGTCTTGTCCATTCGGTTGAAAGTGTGGCCTTCCACACTCCCCTGTGTCCGTCCCAATGTTGATCCAAATTAAACCCAAGCCCCGTCCTACCTTTGGGATGAGTAAATCTGTCCCAGATCGAACTTCCTCTCGATAGGGTCGGGCGCCCGGCCCGAGGAGCTGGGCGGGAAGTCCCTTACCTGATCTAAGAATAAGAGTTGGCATGTGTGGAGCGTTTTACAAAGGCTGTCTTATTTGAGTCTCAACGCAGCCAAGTGAGGTAGGAGCTTCACATATTACTTTCATTTGACAGATGAAGAAACTGAGGCTCTGGGAACAAGCACTTCCAGTGTATTTAAGTATGGGTCTCTGGAGCCCCAGGGAGGGTGCCTGAGGGCAGTGGGCTTCCAAGACAGGCTTTTGGTCCTGAGTTCAAATCCCAGCTCTGGCCTTCCAAGCAGTGTGACTTTTGCCAAACTTTAATCTGGGCCCGGTTTTCCTCTTCTACCAAATGAGAGAATTGATCCACAGAATTTCCAAGGTGTCTATCAGCTCTGACCTTTCTGGTAGAGAAGTGATGCCCATCCACTCTTACGGTAGTTGAGTTCCACCTGAGAATGAGTGAGTGGGGAGGACCTGCAGACTGGTTTCCTCTCAAGGAAACAACTCTCTCATCATTTCAGCTCTGCTGGAACAGGGAGCCTGGGATGCTGCTCTTGGGAAGCCCAGCTGGTCTGGCCCGGGAAGACTAGAAGCCTAGGAAGGTGGCATGTGTCTGAGGGCCCTCCAGGGAGTTACGGTCCTGGAGACCTGGGCCTGAGCCATTCCTTTTGGTCAGGGTCTGTCAACTCTTCTTAATGCTGACTCAGTGAAAATGCAAAGAACAGCTGTCCTGGCTTCTTTTTGTCCTCTCTCTCTTCTTCCTCCCCCACTCTTTCTTTGCTTTCTTTGCTGCCCGCCTAAGAATGGCCAGCAGGTAGCCTCTGGGCACTGTCTGCCCTCAATTCCTATCGGTTGTCTCTCAGTGTCTGCAGACATCCAGTTCTGGTGCTGGACATCTGTCAGTCAACTGCTTACAGTCTGGATTCTTCCCTTGGGATTCTTGGGGAGGGAAGGGCCAGGGACCTCACTTTCATCAGCCCCAAAACCTCTGGGGGCAGGGAAGCAAGTAAGCTCCTCAATTTAGGGCAGAAAGCAGATAATTAGCCAAGTGACAAAGGAATTGGGAATTGTGTGACATCAACTCTGGCTAAGGAGTTAGCCTTGAAATTTTCTAAGTCCTCAGGGTCTACAGGGCTATTGATTCCCCAGGGACCTCAGACCCATCTCCTCTTCCCAGCTCCCACTCTAAGCCCTACACTAAGCTAGCTTGTTGAATGGAATCCCCCGACACCTTCTCTGGGGCTCCAGAGACTCAGACTGAGACAGGTTTGGCAGGCCTGTTCCTGAAGAGGACTGCTCACGGCAGTTCCTTCCTATCCTACCCTAGGGTTGTGGGTGGGGGTTTGTGTGTGTGTGTGTGTGTGTGTGTGTGTGTGTGTGGTGGCGGCAGTGCCTGTTCTCAAACTGGTCCTTCCAAGTCTCAGCGGCCTGATTTAACCGTAACCCTTTGACTGCTCAGGCTACAGGAGAGCAAAGAGTTGTCTCCAGGCAATGTTATTGTTCCTCTCATAGTCAGTCAAGCATTTATTACCAGATTCCCATTCCATCCCTCAAAGACCTCAGAAAAAATGGAAGTCACATGGATGAATGGATGTGGAAAGGTTTTTTTTTGGGGGGGCTAGGCAATGGGATAAAGTGGGTCACACAGCTAGTAAATGTCAAGTGCCTCAGGCCAGATTTGAACTCAGGTCTTCCTGACCCCAGGGCCAGTGCTCTATCCACTGTGTCACCTAGCTGCCCCATGTGGAAAAGTTTGTCTTCTCATCTCTGGATGCTAAGCCCTGGGGTGATACAGAAAGAATAGGATCATTGCCTCAGAGCTGGAAGGGACCTTAGAGATGACAAATTTATTTCATTTGTCTCCTTTGAGCCTCACAACAACTCGGGGGGGGGGGACAGGTGCTGTTATTATCCCCTTTTTGCCAATGAAGAAACTGAAACAGGTAGAAGTTAAGTGACTTGCCCAGGGTCACACAGATAGTAAGTATCTTAGGCACCATTTGAACTTAGGTCTTCCTGACTCCAAGTCCAGCACTCTATGCACTATGCCACCTGTATCTGAGATTTGGAGCTGAAAGGTACCTCAGAGGTCACCTCCCCTAACCTTATTTCCCAGAGGAAGGAGAATGCCACTGAGTTGATTGCTGCACTTTTCCCTCTCCACCTTCCCATTCCATCTCTTGCTCTGGAAACTAATCAAATCATTACTACCATTGCTTCTGGAAAGTGTGCCGGATGATTGCCCCATATCCGCACTCAATATCCCAGTGACTCCCCAGACCAAAACTCCCACTGCACATTCTGTGCTACCTTTACCATATCAGCATGTAAGCTCTTTGAGAGCAAGGATTGTATCTCTTATATTGCATTACCAGAACTTAGCACAGCACCTGGTACATAGTAGGTGCTTACTAAACGCTTTTTCATCCAGTCCATTCCATTCATTTCCTTCTTTCAAGTGTGGCAGTGAAAAGCTGACCCAGGGCAAGTCACTCAAGTAGGATGGAGTTGGGATGGAGAACTGGGTTCCAATCTGGGTTGGATGACTTTGGGTAAGGCTCTTGGCCTCTCTTGGCTTCAGTTTCCTCTCTCTAAAAGGAAGGGGTTAGCCTATATGATGTCAAAAGGTCCCTTCCTATTCTAATAGTCTGTGATTCTTTCATCTACTGCCTTCCACCCCATACAGAAACTGGCAACTGGTGATACAGCCTTTCAGGGAGGCAGAGGGTAATGGTTTAGTTGTTGTTCTGGCCACCTAGAATAACATAGATCTAGTTGTCCAAAATTGAAATGTTGTCATTGGACCATGTCTGACTCTTCGTGACCCCATTTGGGATTTCCTTGGCAGATACTGGAGTGGTTCGCCATTTCCTTCTCCAGTTTATTTGACAGATGAGGAAACTGAGGCACATAGGGTAAAGTGACTTGCTGTAGGAAGTGTTTGAGGTCAGATTTGAACTCAGGTCTTCCTGACTGCAGGCCCAGCATTGTATCCACTGTACCACCTAGCTTCCCCCAAAGTGAAATGACTGGCCTCCATATGTAGTGAGCTCATCATCTTTGGAATTCTTCCTTTAAGAGAGTACGGCAGCTGAGTAACATTTGAGGCTATTGTAAAATCAGTTATGATCAGGGTAGGGAGGGGTTGGACTGGATGTCCTCTGAGATCTCTTCCCACTCCACATCAATGAGATTCTGAGCAGGCTCTTTTAGTTATGATTGGGGGTGGGGAGGAAGGAGAAAAGGGTGCAATGGGAGGCTGTCTCATGACAAGAATGGGCTAAACCAAACCATTTCCTGTAAACGTCTCAGTCACTGATCCTTTGATTCCCATCTCTGCTGTTGTTCTAAGGGGATTAGTTCAGAGGAAGTTGGAAGGTGGGTTGGATAATGACAGTGATCTTTTCCACTTTAAATTCTAAACTTTGTAACATGCTTTGCTCACAACACTACCTGTCTGATTGAGTAGTGCAAATCATTGTCCTTCTTAAACACATGAGGAAACTGAGGCTCGGAGGTTATGAAGAAGGGTAAACATTTATATAGTGTCTACTATGTGTGTGCACAAATCAGGTTGAGGCTACCTGTTGTTGGGTTTTGGTCATTTTGATCACGTCTTACTCTTTGTGACCCCTTGGGGTTTTCTTGACAAATACACTGGAGTGGGTTGCCATTTCCTTCTCCAGCTCATTTTACAGATGAGGAAACTGAGGCAAACAGGGTTAAGTGACTTGCTCAAGGCCACCCAGCTGGTAAGTGTCTGAGACAAGATTTGAACTCAGGAGGAGGAGTCCAGATGGACTCCAACTACAGCACCCTATCTACTTCACCACCTAGCTACCCCCTGAGGGCAAACTGACAGGCCTCAGACCTGTGGCAAGTTAGGGGGATGTCTACCCCAAGTATGTGAAGACTCCCCCAGTCTTCCCCAGTGGAATGTGTGGATGAGAATAATCTGCTCCAGTGCTCACGGAGCAGGTGCTGTGGAGGGCTTAGAGCCTGGTCGGACATTGAAGATGCCAAGGCCATCTGCCGCATCCTGGGTCATCC